CCTCATGGGGCCCCTTCCACATGCACCCGGAACCGGAGGTACACAGCTGGGGACACTCTCCCTCCCTAAACTCGGCTATGGATGGCACTCATTATTTCCAAGTATCAGTTAATGTCGATAAAGATTTTATGGAATACTACTGGTTAGTCAGAAAATGGCTTTGCAGGTTACAACTATAAAGAACAATTCTATCACAATTAATAAAATATTCCAAAGACTGTTATTATAAAGTTAACTAAGAAAAGTTATAGATAAGTGCCTTCTGGAGCACAAAACCACGTTTTTGTAACGAGTTTATGTATTTTCAGTCACTCGAGTAGAAATGCTCCAGGTCGTTTCGTTCCAGAAGAGCAGGACAAGTAAGGGATCCTTCCAGAGATACTTTAACCAATACAGAGAAAATTACAGGGTCATTTTCATGCCTCTCACAGACAAGTGTCCTTTTCTTATCCTCTAAAGAAAAAAAAAAGTACCCTCTTTAAAGTGAGAAAAATTTTTCCTCCAAAATTCATGAAAAGTCTAGGTAAAGCTTAAAGGGCATAAAATCAAGTGTGTGCAACATTTTTCAAATAAACGATTGGCACATTTAGAGAAAATCAGTTCAATACTACATTTAATAAATGTCAAAAACCATTAAAAACATATTATAGATAATAAAGTACACTTTAAAAATAATGGTAGATTTTCAAATTCAGATTTTTAAATCATCATATTTATAGTTCACTTCTGAGATCTGAGGACTTAAACTATGCAATTACATGTAAAATTTTAATTACCTTTCACTTAGATGATGGAAACTACTGCTTTCATCCTGGTGTTCATCTTCAAAACTTAAATTGGACCAGCTACCAGTGCTGTCATCACCAATACTAAGATTCAGCTGCTGGCTACCCAAAGACTCCGCTGACTGAAAGTCTTCTATTTCTTTTGGACTAAAAAAAAAGAGAGAGAGAGAGAAAGATAAATTCAATCCAAAAGCATCGGATTCTGAATTATAAGACTATCCATTTGATGATAAGGATGACAAAAACAAGAAATGGCATTTGGAGTCAGCCCAGTGGTCTACCTAACCCGCTGTGACTGTGTCTGCTAACAGCGAGACTTTACAGGGCAGCACACTGATTTCACGTTCACTGAGGTACCAGGCCAACACCGGTAACTTACCTTATCAATCTAGCATGGCTCCATTCCAAGCGCATCGCTTACCTAAATCCGCTGTAAAGTAGTTCGGATTTTCAACTGGGACCACTATGGCGGAGCGCATCTGCTTTGTGAGACAGTACTGTTGTTTTTACCAAGCACAAAAACAAAAAACCCTTCTTCTGGCTTAAAAAAAAAAAAGTATTCGAGGAATTCTAGTACTGCCAATCAGGCCTACAGCCAAACGAGCCAAATCCCTGAAAGAGTCGGAGCACAGATCAGAACCCTTCTCATTTTTCTCAATGAAGAAACATTTATATTTTTGTTCCATCTTTACAAGAAAGGCCATTCACTGTTCAATTACTGTAATAGCCCCCTCTACAGTTTATTCCCACCAGAGCAGTTTAAAGTGATGTTCTGATGTCTTTAAACACGAAGAGGGAAAATGTTAGCCTTCCAATCAAAACCTTCTAGTGGTCTCTCAGCAGTCGGACAGGGTCTGAATCCTTGACACACAGCACCTGGCAGGATGCGCTCTCATGACCTCCACCTGACCCACCTCGCCCCCTGGCCCACGCGCTGCAGCCACTCGGCCTCCCCAGCACGGATGGTCTCGGCCCCCTGCCTGGAAAGCTCTTCCTGATTCGCCTTCGCTCACATGTCATTTTGTCAGAGTTGCTTCCCCTGCTCCCTGTTCTGAACTGCAAAGCAGCCCCACCTGCTGGCACCCGCCACCAGCGCCAGATCCCCTTCCCTCACTTCTGTCTTCCTCCAAAGCACTTGTCACTGAGCGACACACCACGTAGTTCACTTATTCATTGTCTGTCACATTCCACTGTAACATGATGTCCCGGAGAGCACATATTTTCACTTATTTTACTTATTTCTGTATCCCTAGTGCCTAAAATAAGTACTTTGACGCTATTCTCATTTCGTATTTAAGATACACCAGCCAGAACGTCGCTGGCATTCCAGGGGCAGTCACACTACAGATTTAAATGATAATGGAGTACTACTTCATTCTTTAAAAAAAAGAAAAAGGAAAAAAAAACACTTCCTGGTATGCACCACAATCTAATATTTTGACTAAAATGTCCCACTAGATGGGGTCCAAAGAAGAGTTTTTTGTTTTTTGTTTTTTTTAATAACTGCTGGGTTATTTTGGATTAGAAAAGTAACTCTAAAGACAGTTTAGATGTTTTGTTCTCCTAAAAACGCACTACCACACACTCCCCATTTGACACTCAGTGACACCCCTCTGTACGTTACAGCTTAGCGAAATATTTATGGTTATTTTCACGATTCGAACATTTATATGAAAAAGGACACTAGGGAAATAACTCGAATAATACTTTTAAAAATAATCCATTTGAGTGAATCCCTCTTAAAGCTTGAAGACAAACCATTTTAACTTCAGAAAGAGAAAATGTGACAGCGCCTGGTGCACACCAGTCAACTTTTATTAGTGGGCACTCAGAGAAACCCCGCACGATCATGAAGAATAACAGAGAAAGCGAAGATAAACAGAGCGACTCCCTGCCAGCCTGGATGGGGCCGGAGCGGACAGCAGGGTCACAGAAAGAGCTCGGGGCTGATCTCCTCAGCCAGCTCCAAAAACGAAAGGTGGAAACAGGAGCCCACATCGGGAGCCACTGCCCCTCGCCTGGCCCCAGCAGGGGACCCCAGGGACTCTCACCGGGCGGACTAGCCAGAAGGGAGGGGGCTCTTCTCCTCCCAAGGCTGGGGCTGAAGCGGGTAGGGAGAGGGAAGAACAGCAGCTAGAGCCTGAAGCCACGTCTGTCTGAGGAAAGCTGCTTCGATTACAGAAGGCCGAGCTCACCACGACGCACTGATGTCCGCCATCACATCGGGACTACTAAGCTGTCATGAACAGAGAGAATGTGGGTCTAGGGCAAAGCTTCACGACTTTGTCCTGTGAAGGGCCAGACGCTGAACTTAGGCACTGCCGGCTAGAAGGTCTACTGCAGTCACGCAACTCCGCCCTCAGGGCACGAAACCAGCCCCAGACGGGCCGGAAATGAATGAGCGTGGCTGCGTTCCAATAAAACTTTACTTGTGAGCACTGGAATCTGAATTTCATATAACTTTCACATGTCACAAAATAGTATCCTACCTCTGATTTTTTTTAAACACTTAAAAAATGTAAAAACCACACTTGGCTCCTGGGCCATACACAAGCAAGCAGGCGACCAGTTCTGGCCCGCGGGTTATGGTCTGCCAACGCCTGCTCCGGGGGCAAGGGGACGACCTGACTATGGCCGGGAGAGCTCCCGCGGTTCACCAGAAACCCACGGTGTCTCTCGTCTCCAGAGGACACTCCCAACAACGGGATCCGAGGGTCCTGGCCGCACCGCATCTCCGTTTTAAGACGGTGCAGAATGGAAGGAGTCCTTGTCACGGCTTTGACAAAAGCTACTACAAAGTCTGAGGTGTCGTGTGATTAAATTCCACCTCCACTGAGGCCTCCGTTTCAGAGGGACTAACAAATCCAGTCCTACAAATAATGTCACAAGTTAGTCTTGACGTTTTCTCAGGCAGAATGGAGGCTAAAGTGAGCATTTTTAACTAAGGTGTTAGAATCTGAGCATGAAGCGCAGCTGCTGAGGAACCGGACACTGGGACGCAGGACACCAGGACGGCCAGCAAGAGCTGCCCCTTAAGTCAGGGCCTATCAGGAGAAGTGGTGGCAGTGGGGAAGGACCTGGAGCATTTCTGCTTTTTTCCTGATAGCATTGTGATTAAATTATGTTTGTTATTTAAGAAACAAAACAAAAAAAAATTTACCTGTGAATAGAAAAAAACAGAATATGAGAATCTAATCCCAGAGTAGTAACTTAACGTGGTCATTAATATTCTATATTTTTGTATAAAATTCTCCAGCTGTTTCTTTGACTCCACCTGGCCCGCTTCCCAGCTTTGGGGACGTGGACCAGGTGACGGCCCCTCTAAGCCTCATCCTCCAGCGCGGTAAACGGTGACAGCGCCCCCCAAAGGGCTACTGTAGAGCAACGACGCGGTGTACGTGCAAGTAACACGTAGGGACGTAGAACACCACGCAAACGGAACAGGGAAACATTTTTGTCAATTTAGGGTTAAAAATAATCCTACCTTTCTGAACAGAACCTGAGACATACCTGATCGAGTTTAACTTTTCGTTCTTTCGTAAGGCCCA